CAGTACTGCAAGATCTAAAGTGAGATACTTTATAAAATTGTTTCATATTATCCATGTTTTAGGTACAGCATAAAAATAGCTCAAACTACAGCTGGATAAGTCTCCAGTCCCACTGCTATTTTCCTACACCTCACTTCTTTAAAGCAACGACAGTCCAAAAGGAGGAGTAGATACACATCAATCAATCCCATATGTTTTAATTGTTTAGATTATCATTGTTCTGCATCCATTCACACTGTACTACAGATATAGTTGCAAAATCACAAGGCCCTGTTGACAAATCCCAGACCAGAAACTGCCTTTTTTGATATGGAGAATTGTAGATACACTTGGTTGGCTTATTTCAGTAAGGTGACATAAGCAATTTATTGGCAGAGGAGAAGGGACACAAATCTCCTGAGAAAAGTGGAAGAGAAATGATACAACAGCAAACAGGAATAATTAACAAGAGGCACTGCACAAATGTAGGAAGTATGCAAAGATCATTTCTGATAGATACTGTAAGCATCTGATCTTTAAGAAGTAACAGTGGAGGAAAAAAAAAATCAGAACCTTTTTAATATGTATCACTTAACAATTCCTTCTGATTAGAATTGTAATGAACACAACCTAATTATATCTGCTGCACAGTAACCAGATTTGATTCTGTCCTTTTGCCAGTAGCTGTGGAGAGCTGACTTTCATAAAGATCTTTTATACATCAAATGACCACCATACTCCTTTAATTTTCTCTTTCTTGTGATGCAGCAACATAGGAAATTATTTTGCTTTCTCTCACAAGGCCAGTTCTCCAAGTCTTGTGCCATTCTTCTGCTTTTATCCCTGAATTCCCTTCAGTTTTATGCAATTCCTACAAAGTATAACACTCACACTATAATGAATTGACAAATTTATCAAAAATTTAGTCATTAAAAACTCAAGGAATATACCCTGGCTGTATACCTGATGCTTTTTTATCCTAATGACGATCAGCAAGTGTTCTAATAAGTTTAGTTTTGTAACCAAGGGAAAAACAAATGGAAACTAACTTGGTGACCAAGAGACTGTAGATGTTGCTTCTCTATAACTGCAATATACAATCATTTGGAAAAGCTTCCTCTAAGGGCTGAAGAAGATTTTTCAAAGCTAAGGTTAAATATCCATTACTGTGAATGGCAAGAAAGTACCTGTGGACACAGCATTAGAGAAGAAAGAACATACTGCAGGTCGGAAGACATTAAAAGCCTGGGATTCATTCAGCACTCTTAAAGAGCAAAATGATTTCCAGGAAAGGTAGCCTTATGCACGCACATAAATATAGCATAAACTGCTAGTGAGTGTAGCACAGAAGCCCATTCCTGAAATAGTTCTCAACAATTATAATTCTCAGATGTCAGCCACAAGGAGATGGGTCTTTGCCTCCAAACGTAGTAGCGTTCAGTTACCCTACACCAGTATAACACCAGAGAATCATCATATGAAGAATTATTTCTAACTGTAAAGCACAGTGAGGAGACTGAATATTAGGAACTGACAGCCTCACCAATGGCAAAGGTCAAACGTGCCTTAAAAGAAGAGCAAAGAGTACAGCTGAATTAAATACTCTAATAAATAGCAAGCAAATAAAAAGGCTCAAGTAGCATTTCTTGAGAATAAAAATTATTTTTCAAACAAAACGGCATCCCAGCAAAGTTCTAGCATCCTCCCCTCCCTACAGTTTTCACCTCTTTAAAATCTAAAAAAGCACCTAGAAATTGATGTCTCTCACAGAAAGGAGAAGGCAAATATTTGCAAGCCTGTCCAAGGAATTCAAATGCAAAATGGAAGTCTGCTAAGACTTCTCTAATCAATAGATAAGAGAAGTATTCATCAGGGCAATCTGCCCTAGCTAAAACTAAGCCCAGATAAATGAACTCCATAGAATTACAACCATTATCACTAAAATTTAAGGTATAAATACCAATACAATTACTAATAAATAAAGCTAGAATTGCCTGCTATTGCAATTCAAGGAAATCAGAAATCAAATCAATAAAAAGCATCATAATATATTTTACAGATGACATATCAGAAACTTCTGAAATTTGTTTCAAGTGGAAAACAGTGAAGGTTACAGAATGGCAGCTCTGTGAGTCACTTGGGTTTGCTGGACTCCACCAGATTATGATTCAACTTGTAGTAATAACAGAAAAGGCACTGACTAGGAATGCTTACTGCACTGCTCCATCATTTTAACAGCAGCCATATATTCTTTCCTGACAGCATGCAGTTAACAGGGGAAAAACAAAGGTATTGCAGAATATGGAATATTTTTTTTTTTCCTGTGTTAAGTCTGAAAGGAAGCAAAATTAGCTTTGGAAGCACATAACTAATTTGCTGTGTGGAAAAAAAAAGGGGGGGGCAGAGAGAAAGAATCTGTACAATTGCAAAGAGCAGAGCAGCCATCAGTAGAGAGGCCCAGTCATGCTGTCACAAGCAACTGCAGGGGTAAAAGAGGATTTTTATTATTTCACCTACCTTAATATTAACATATATCAAGCAGATAAAAGTACATAGGGTAATAAATCAAAATATTCTGTCTTATAAACCACAGTTAAATAACTGAAATACATGACAATGTTCATTTGTTTGTTGAAACACAAATGGAATCTGTCCTACTCACAGAGGAAACATCAAAAGGGCATAACATAATGATGTACAGCATCCCACTTCTGTGGGAAAGAGAGCAATGGATGAACTTTTCCCAGCAGTGACTGTTGCATAGCTTCAGAGAAGGACAAAGAAATCTGCGACATACAACAATCAGAACAGGCCTGAATGGAGACAACAAACATTTCAGTTCACATAGGTCACAGCTCGGATCTAAGTATATCATACACTTCAGCGTCCTTCAAGGTTGAGGAAGCAGATGGCAGGTCATATGACTCATTTCTGATATAAAATGTATTCTTGCAAGGCAACAGCAGTGAAGAAGGGCAGAGAGAATAAATCTCTCAAACGCAGAAGTGGAATTAGCAGGCAAAGGAGGAAAACAATCCATAACAATTCCATAACTGGAAAACACTGCTCCTTATGTTTCATTTTTAATTTAAGATACAGTCAAGGAGTTTTCACAGCTGAAAAGGTCTGGCATAGCAGAAAGCTGTTCTTCGTCAAGTTTTTTGTTTTAAGATACCTTTGTTTTATGTGACCTTATAGAAATAAATTGATTGGTGTTTCAGATGCTATTTAAAATCAACTGTTAAAAAGTTTTTGTCATTCGTCATTTGAGCCTTTTGAATGTTGAATGTCTTATTTACAAATATTCCTTTCAGAATTGGACTTTTTCATACTGTCATTATTACTAAACTTGAAGCATTATTAAATCATGACTAGACATTTTTACAAAGTTTCTCTGACAACATATTACGTGTCATTCTCTACCCTTTGATGGAATTGATTTTATGCACTTCACCAAGAGAACCAGTGAAAATCTGAGTTTTATAGATTACATAAGACCTCCTCAGAAAAAGAAGAGATGGAAGATTCATGGGACTTTCTTCATGGGTTGTTCTCCATAATTTGTGTGATTTTTCTTTAACTCGTGTTTAGTTCTCTTGATTCTGTGGCAAGTTAGTGGAATGAAATACATAGGAATTTTTTTGTCTAGATTACCTTTTTTAAAGAAAAATGAAATGACTTCATACTTGAACTGTCTGACATCAAAATAAATAAATTAGAGTTCACTCAAAAAAAGAAGAATTACTTGGAAAATAAGTAAGTTGCATCCTACTGGAACTTGACTTTTCTACTATTCGTCAGAAAGACTTTTTATGGAGCCACACAACAGCCAGACCCTTATCATACCTTAAACATCTGCCTATATAGAAAAGGATAGACAAGGCAAACAAAGGCAATGACAGAACTTCTTCCTAGAATACAAACAATATAAAACAGAATGACAGATAAAGAAAAGAAATTGACTCATTCCTTCCAATAACCAGCAACAGGTCCAAAGAAATGCAGTCTCAATGAGATGCAGTTCCCTTGTCTGCTAACCCTACCCTTAAATGAGAGGAGGGATGGATCCAGGCCCCACCTCTTTGGACCACTCAAGTGCATTGCTTGATCCTGAGCTCCCTAGTTTAGCTGCACCTGGTGCTCAGCCATTGATTCAGGCAGCAACCTGGCAATTCCCCTAGAAGATTAAACTAAAGAGCTAACTGCTAGAAGTCTATCTATCTGCAGTAAAGAACATCACCTGTGGTAAGGGAGAGCTTACATGACGTTCTCTACGTCCTCAGAAGGGTTTTCATATTTCCACATCCTGCTGTAGACTGTGGAATAATCAGACACCAGATTAGAACCACTGAGTCTGTAGCACTGACTGCACCATTTTCTGCAGCTCCTCCTGCAGCACAGGAAAGCCCCATGAGTGCTGCTCTGCAGTACAGGATGGAGCACACAGCATCTTCCCACAGTCTTGGGCTATGGTGAGCTTTGAAGTTTTGTATTTCTCATGCCATTCCTCCTCCAGGCATGCCCAGATGTGGGGAGATAACTGTGCAGTAAACTGAACATCTCATCTGACGCAGTTCACACTGGGTGTCTTTTATAGGCGTATAGTACTGGAGGATACCCCATGGTGAGACATGGTGTCACATGACTTTGAATTTTCAGTCTCTTCATTTTTTACACAGTGTGTCTTTTCATCTCATGGCAGCACGGCTGATGGCAATTCCACCGATGGCAATTTAAATGATCACAGCGGATTCGTTAAATGCAAAGACAGCTGCAGCGTAACACAGTAAAAGGGAACATTTATTTTGTTTGTGCTTTGTTCTGAGTAAAGGGGGTTACAGCTACACCCCGGGGTTACTCAGCCAGCCCCGCGTACCACCGTGCTCTGCCGTGGGGCTGAGCAGGGCGCAGCGGGGGCCCAGAGCGCGGGCGGAACGTCAGGCGCGGAGTTCAGCGTTCCGGCCGGCGGCGGTGCCGTGCGCACAGTGACACCGCGCGGCCGCTTCTCGCCCGCCCCCGCGGGTGGCTGCCGGGAGCCAAGATGGAGGCGGCGAGCAGAGCGGGGCAGGAGATCAGCTTGGCGGCCCTCAAGCAGCACGATCCGTACATCACCAGTATCGCCGACGTGACCGGGCAGGTCGCGCTCTACAGCTTCAGCCCGAAGGCTAACGAGTGGGTAAGTAGGGAACGGCTCTCCCGGCTCTTCCGGCCGCAGGGCGGCGGGTCGCGATGGGGCCGCGGCCGCCCGGTTTGGGATTTAGGGCCTTCCCCCGGCAGGGTTCTGCTCGGGAGGCGGTTTTGCCTGAGGAGAGCTGTGCCCGGTCCGTGCCGGAGCGGCGGCGGGGCGGGGGTTGGTGCCGCAGGGCGGGCGGCTCGATGGGTCTCGCCGTCGGTTGTTGCTCGCAGCCCTATTTTAGGAACAGCGGGCTTTGAGAAGCAGCGTTCGTCATTGCGTTAAAGCGTAGCTTTGGCCTGAGGTGCTTTCCTTTTTGGTTTGGGTCTTGGTGTCCGAACGGCAGGGAAGAGGCACCTTTAGCGGTGTTGGTTAAGGAAGAAGCGCTACCCAGGGTCAGGGCATAGCCGTACCGTGCCCCTCCAACTTTCTCTGACTGCTGCCGTTTCATCACAAAGCTCAGAAGGCATAAATACGCTGCAGTTCACCTTCTTGTGCTCAGCCCTGGAGCTGTGTGCGGCTCTCAGCGCTGGGGACCTTGACACGTGTGGTAAGCTTGGAAATTTCAAGTGGGAAGCAGCTGTGGTGCATAGCTATGTTGTTTTGTTGTTGTCTGTGCTGGTACTGTGGGCATTTAAGTAAACGACCTGTCTGCTGTGTGCAGATAGCAGCCAGTGTCTGAGAATAAGGAGCTGTGAGCAAAGCGTTCAGCTCTGACTGGTCAGGCTGGGCGTATGCCGTGTAACACATCAGTGAGTTAAGAACGTGAAGTACATCTCCTGGAAGTGGATTTAAATTCCCTAGTTTTACTAGGGAAAAAGGAGGTCATTGCTGAAAAGGAGGGATGGCAAACTTCTGTGGCTAGATAAGAATATTGTAAATGATACCTCTAATTAAAGCATTACACAGAAGCTAGCGAGGATATTCCCTAAACATACGTACTGTTTTTTGTAGGAGAAGACTGACATAGAAGGTACCTTGTTTGTGTACAAAAGGTAAGGGTTATTTTTGTGTCTTCTTGTCTGCTCTAAGAAGAAAACAAGACTCATGTTGCTCCACATGCAGCTTTCATAGTAGATTTATTGCATGCAATAATGTTTGTCTAGTGATTAACATATATGTGTGTATTTTGAGAGGACTAAACTGTGCAAAGGCGAATGACCCTGTTAAAATTACTGCTGAAAAATCGTCATACTTAGTAATTGCTTCATATGTATCCACACAGAAATGTAGTTTATCAATCTGCATTTGTTAATACAGTAGCATTTGGTTATGTGTTTGTTAAATGCTGAGAAATCCTTGGCTTTCTAACGTGTGAAGTTGCTAATGAAAACAGTATAGATGACAAATTAAAAAATCTCTCATCACTTTATTTCTTTAATATCCTGTCTGGTTCTGTAAATGGATGATGCTAGTTAAGTCACTTGGGGGCCTCTTGATTTCCTCATTAGAACAGAAAGAAATTCACAATTACTTGTGGTAAAGAAAAGGATTGAACAGGAATAATTTTTTTCAGAAGCACTCCATAAATACAACTAATAGTAAACATTTTAAGTTGCAAATCAGAAACCTAACAATGAAATGAGTCTGCTGTGTGTATGATGTGAGTAATGCAGACATAATGAACCTGTACCAAAGCATACTGTCACAAACTATAGGTTGTTCCAATAATTTTGTCTTGGCACTATAAAGGGATGTGAATAACCTAGTGCTCTTAACTTTGCTTGAGTTCCAAGTTTGGAAATAGTGTAGGAAAAACAATCAAATTAAAAACTAAAGAGAGAGTTTTCCCATGACAACCTGTTTATTTCACAAAAGCTCTGTTAGGAACATTAAAGACAGCCTTGGAATGGCAAGGACTGTTTGCCTCCTCCATAGCAGCTCTTGGCAGATTTTGTTGCTGGTCATTCAGTAAACATGGCCATGTTGCTATAAAAATCTTTGTACTTAATACCTAATTATGTCTGATTTTTGCCTGAGTATCTTTTGTTTTCTTAGCTAATTATTTTTATTAGACATGAATGACCTAAAACAAACTACTGCCCCAGAGGCCTTCATTGTGCTGCTGTGTTCATTATGTGGCTGCTTATGGGTACAACATGTTTGCTTTTTAACAGCATTTTTTTTTTTTTCTTTTTTTTTTTTTTTTTTTTTTTTTTTTGCAGCGTATCTTTGATTCTGTAGTTCACAACTGTTATGTTAATTCTAATTGTAGTTGAGTTAAGCATGGTTTTAAATTGACATTAGTTGGCTCGCCAAGAGATGACTTGGAAGAAAAGAACAAATATTGGATATTCAGAACTACTGAAGTGTCAGTTCATAAAATAATGGAGTTTTGAGGATTAATTCTTAACTGTTTCAGAAAACTGTGTGTTGTTCAAGGTCTCAATCCTTGCTTTTGTTTTAATTGAAACAATAGGTCTGCTTCTCCATACCATGTTTTTACAATAGTGAATCGACTGAACATGCACAACTTAGTTGAACCAGTGAATAAAGACTTGGAGTTTCAGCTTCATGAACCTTTTCTTCTCTACAGAAATGCTAGCTGTGAGTATAACTTCCTCTAATCCATACGAATGTAGTATTCTGTTTTATAACCTAGACTGCTTTCTATTACTGTGGTGTGTTTCAAGCATAATGCAGTGGGCCAGGTTCCAGTGGGATGTGTGGTGCTTTGTGCCTACAGTGCTAGATTTATCTAAGTAGCAGTGCAATGCATTATGATCACCTGCTTTCAGTAAAAAAGGGTTTGACTATGAAAGTTCAATATTGTTATTCTCATGTTTTTAATTAATGGCCTCACTGATTTAATCTGAACATATACAGTGCTACAAGAATACTGAAGATTGATAATTTTCTTGGTGTGTGGTAACTGTTGAGTCTGGCTTGAACCACGGATTGAGCACCTGGGAAAGGATCCAGTCAGCCCTGGGAGCACAGGTGAAGGCAATTCAGCTGTGTGACAGGAAGGGGTGGAATTTGGCTGCACCTCTCTTAGACCTCAGTTAAGGGCTGACTGCTGCTAGGGAAGGATCTCTTCCTGGAGATCCCTCCTTAGTGAAGCTTTCCCCTGTGAAACTAGAATCGTCTGATATGGATGAGCAGTCTTCCTTCCTTTCCTTATAGTACCTCTTCATTGTGCCAGTCCTTTTGTCATCACACCTTTGCTGCAATGCCTTTCCCACTGTATTGATCCATTTACTTGCTACACTTGGTGATGGATGTTATTAAGTAGTTCTGAGGGCTTCAAGAGCCACAGTTGAGACTTTATGTTTTTTTTAAAAAAAAGAAATTTTAAATATTCATCAGTGGTTCTTTGAAGGGATTGAGGTAATTACCTAGCTGTAGGTGTTAGTTTCTTTCTCTAGAGTACTGTGTGTACTCTGGAGAAAAATGTCTGCTAAATTTCTGCAGATCTAGGCTCCAGCAATTTGTGAGTGCTGGGAGATGTATGGTTTAAAAAAGAAGTCATATATTCTTGCTACTACTTGATTTCTAGTGTCAGCACTGGGTTAGCAGTTAAGTTAGAGTCCCCATGTGCTGTGTTCCAGTTAGGCACGCAGTAAAAATCCTATTGCTCCAAAAAGTTCAGTCTAGAATTGAGATAGCTCTTACAGAGGAAATGAAGGGGTGTGTGTGTATGAAGTTCTCTTGAAGGCTGGTGGAATAAAAGATATGCCAAAGATTAGAGAGCTCTCATGATATAAAAACTGTCTTTTTATATCTTTGATTTGGACTAAGTTCTTGAAATTAGTTTGCTGTGTAATGATACAGTCTTACTAAATTACTTGGAGAGCCTGTGTCTGGATAAATTGCTTCCTCAACACAATCTCTACTGCATATCACCTAATGTCCCCTTGAATGGCAAATAGGAATGCTGTTTTGGCTACGCTTCAGTGTACCTAGGAGAAGAGTCAAATGTTAATCCCGTCTTGTCCTTCTCTGCACCATCCCCTACAGAAAACTATATCTAGATTTTTTTCTATTCCTTGTTATTTCAGTGCTGCTAACTCTATTATATTCTGCTTTTAGTTGTTGGGTTTGGAATTTTCTTCCCTGAATGCAACTTCCCCAATTGCCTGACCTCCATCCATTGAATTAATTAGGGAAAAAAATGTGTACATGTAGTGGAAATGTTCAGTGTTAAATACATTTTCCTCTATCTGCTTAGTATTCCAAAAACATAAAGCAAATAAAAATGTCACCTCTAGGACTGGTTTGTATTTACAAACTTCAACACATGTATGTAAGTGAGGCAATTACTGGTGAAGGATCTCTTCATGCAGTAAATGATCTGCTTCTGCTCAGCTGTCTGCTGGTGTGAAAACTACATTTTTTTTCTAAGTCAGTGGGTAAGGCAGTGCACACCTCTGAGGGCTTTGTGCTGTCTAACTGAAAAATTTAATGTGTAGTTCTTCAAAGATCTTTTAATGATGGAGAGGATGGACTGCTAGGTTGAACAAGATCAAAATGCCACTTAGAGTCCTGGCAGTAATCTTATTTGTTAGGCTGTTTTCTCTATCCTTCTTGAGCAAGATTCTAAGTTGTCCTGTTAAAATTGCTGAACTATTGAACTGACAGTTGTTTCCTTAGCTTGCCAGTTCAGACTACCTGATTTAGAACTGCAAAATCACGTTTGTTTTTACTGCTGTTTGTCTCTGCCAGTAGTATATACAGCAGTATATTTAGGTTATAACAGGATCAATGGCAAATCATGCTTTATGCTTCCCCAGGGCATGGCAGAAATAAAAGATGATCAAAATAGCATTGTGCCACTGTGCCTTTGTGCCACCATTTGAGACAGGCTCTATGTCAACGATATTTATAAGAGATGATGGTACTGTTTTCTAAATTTCGCAGTTTCAGTCGCCCTGGATTTTGCCATTATTATCTTATGTATTATCTTATTATCTTGTGTTCAGGCCTCTGGCACTTCTTAAGTGACATGGGAGCATGAGGATGTTGGGTGATGTACAGCAGTCTATGCAGAGCCACTAACGAGTTTTAAGAGAAATTTTGCAAATTGAAGATAACCATTGTTTTGATTTGGCCAGGGGCTGTAAGAATGATCTGCCTGTCAAGCTAGATGACAATGTTTGTGGGTTTTACCATTGTTTTACAGTTGGATTTGTTCAAATTATGTTTTGTATATATAATGGGATTTTTAGATTGCTGTGTGATAAAACTAAACTTTGCTAAGCTGAAACTTGAGATTCTTTATCTATTTACATGAAGGATTTTTCGAGTTCTTAAAACATTCTAAGAACAGCTGAGGGAATTGAATTATTCCAATGGAAGGGAGACCTCTCTTCGATTGTTGTTTTTTGTTTTTCCCTGTTTATGCAGGTTGGAATGAGGAGCTTTTCATGGCTATGCTACTACCAGAATAGATCAAATGATAGGATATCTTTCTTATACCTGCTGTCTGTTGGGTTCACTTAATACTTGAAGCCTGATGTCTGTTGTTCCTCAGAAAACAATACTTTGTTAGTATTTTTGCAGTTAACTGAGAAATCTGAGAAAATTATTCTGACAATGTAAGCCTAAAAACAGTATGAAAACCTAACATTTTTGAAACAGGCTATGTATACTTTTCAAGCAGCATTATAAACACTGTTAAAATTTGAGCTTTTTATTCACTGCAGTCACATCCTAAAGCAAAAATGACAGCAGTGTGGTGAATGAGGTGCTGTTAAACATTATACCAGATGCAGTAGTAAAAGAAAGTATTCTTCTATTGCTAGACAGAATAAGAAAACTAATATCTCCTAGTAAGAATGAATCAAGAAAGAAATGCAGTTAAATTCTTTTGGTGATATAGCAGATGTTTTCATTTAGAGTTCTTCTCAAAAGTTAGATTAGCTTGTTTCATATTTAATGTGTTATTTATTTTTGCTTAATCTGCAATATATGGTTGTGTACATTTGAACCTTGACTAGCTTTCTGTCTGGATGCATGTATGTTCTTCAGGGTGTTCAGAGCATGTGTTTGTAAAGCACTGAATTCTAGTGATGTATTTCTCACCAACCATAGCTTGCTTCCTCTTACTCGTATCTAGTGAAAAAGGATATTCGAGTCTACTAAAAAATGCATGTGGTTCTGCCAGTTAAAATAGTAATAGCCCAGTCTGAAAGTCCTGTACTTCCTTTTAATCTATAATGTGAGAATTTGGAGCATGGTCACTACTGTGCAGCAATATTTTTTTGCAGGTATTGCTAAAGTTTGCTAAATAATAAAGTTAGTAAAAGTTTTAGATAATGAGTAACTTACCTCTCAATTTCTTCAAGAAGTGTTCTTCTGAGTCCTTCTCATTTATAACTTGCCCTCTGCAGTGGCAGTGTTGGTCTGGATTAAAAGGCTTTCCAATGCAGGATAGTTCTCTTGGAACGTCGAGTGGATTTATTTCCGTCATCCTGAAAAGGCAGATGCCAAGTGTAAAACTTAATTATTAAAATAAACACTCAGTATTTTGGATTTTTTTTTTCTCTTCTTGCTTCTTACTCCTTGTCCAATGGTGCAGTGGTTAGTGAAACAAAAGTAATGGATGTTGTGAGACTTATAACCCTGCAGTGTGGATCCAGTGTCTTCTGGATCTCTTATATTGTCATTAATTAAACTTGTTTTTTGAACAGCACAACCAAAAGAAATTGCTTTTTTTCAAATGGCTTTTAAAATTCTTTGAAAGAACTTCTGATTGGTTTCAAAATAGGAAGTCTCTACTATTAAGGGAAATCTCATTATCTCTTCTCCATTCAGCTGCCAGTGTGTAGCATGCAAGATATCTCTGACTAGTGAAGCTGAGTGGCTCTCCAGCAAGCACATCAACTTAGTGGTTTAGTCAGAGATAAGGAGTCTGTTCTTGATACTTTTCAGCAGAAGAGGCAATGCAAGTAGGGGGAGGGAGGAAACAACATTGAAAGCTGTTAAGCAGTGCTAAAAATATTCCATTTGACCTGAAATGTGGCATTCAAACTGCAAGAGGTTTTCTGCCATAGCTCAGCATCCCACAGTCCTAGTGCTTCTCATTCCATGCTATGCTTAATCAAATTAAGTAGTTTCTGGATCCTGGATGTTGTTTGCCACCTGCTGAGTTACCCCTGTGCAACTGCTTGTGGGATTGTGCAGCTTTGTGAACTGGATTTGTGAAATGCCCTTAGATATCCAAAACAATAAGAATGGAATGGGACTTTTATAGAATGATTTCTCCTGATTTATGAATCTATGCAAACGCTCACATTAAAATTAAGGAAAATAAAAGTAGTGAATGAGGAATCTTGGTGAGAAGGAGATTAGAGCAGAGTGTCTGGGGAGGCTTGAGATTTCAGCTAATCCTTCTGCTGAAGTAAGTACAAGCTTGAAGAGACATTAATTATGTGCATTTGTCTTTAACTATTTGAAATGTAAAATGATGCCTATGTCAGCTCTTCTATGGGAGTGAGATTAAGTTATTGTCATTTATTATATTTTAGGACAATTTCAAAATATGAGCCTTTCTTCGCAGAGTTTGACTCTTTCTGCTTCAGTCACTGTATAATGTATAAAATGGAACTGTAAAATGTTTTTTCTCTCTTCCCATGAAGTCTTCCAAGTAGTTATGGTAACTTTCTAAAACGTATCATCTTTTTGGATGAGATCAAGCCGTATCTGCACAGATGGCTAACCTGCCTTAGGCAAGAGAGTGGTAGTGTCTGCAGTCTCTCAAACTGGCACTCCTGATGAACCCCACATACTTCTCTTTCAACACAGTGTTCTCAGGCAACATTCTCATGAACGTTTCAGCAACTTTGCCCTCCTCTGCAGCCCTGAGTGTCTTGTTTCTGTCCTCTCTCTTGTGACAGACAGCATGGTTGTCAAGCTGATGTGCAAACAATATCAAGGAACTGGTCTGGATGAAACTGACATGAGGGTGGATTGAGGTAGTATGAGTAATGGTGTTGCATTGCCTCCAGTTGCTGACAACAAATGGCAAAGTTGTGAGAGTGTGAGTGGTAAGGCTGTCTCTTTCCACTAATTCAAAATGAAACCTGCAGGCGTGTAATGAAGTCTTTGTTATGTTGCCAGTGTATGGCCTCTCTTGGTGTGGTGTTGTGTTATCCCTGCTCTGAGATGGATCTGGTAGCTGGACAGCATTGGAACAGTAATCTGACTGCTCCATGAAGCAGCAGGATCCCATTGTAGAAGAGGTAAACATGAGAAGTTGGATATTACTTGTGTAATACTTGAGTTGCTGTTATTAATAAAAGTGGCATAATGAACTTGCCCAGATACCTAATGCCTGAGAACAATTTAGATGAAGATAAAACAATTTGCCAGTAATTTATTGTCTGGTTTGGCTTTGATATGAGTTACTCATGACTTCATCTGTTAATGTAAAGTGAATCCAACTGAAAGATATTGATGATGATTACAGATTGACTCTACTTAATTACTGAAGATGCTGCCTAGCAGTGAGTATAGAAAAGACAGAGTAGAAGTATTGAAGTAGGTGGAAAAGTAAGTGAGCAGAGAGGTTGGATGAAACTGGTGTAGAGCTGTAGTGGAAAGACATGCCATGAGATGTCCAACGTTCAGCCAATGTTTACTGGATCTGACAATCCAGGTTGGAGAAGTACTGAGTCTAATACAAGGATGCTGATAGCTAAAGTTGTATCGTATGTAATGATCAGTTGATGCAGAGAGTTGAAGAATGTCTGAGAGAGCTGAACTGATGGTACAAAGGAGTCCTCTTTCTAAAAGAGGAAGGCGAACACTTGAGTCTGTTGGACTCTGTTTAATGTAATGCCCAAGGGCACATGTTCATAATCTGCTTTAGATCTTTGTAACATTGTTAGTGTTCTTTGGTGACTCCTTGCAATTATTTGTCAGTACTACAAAGTGTCTGGTGAGGTGGGAATGATACTCTGTAGACAGAGCCAAGTTTTTGAATCTACTTCAGAACAGTGTGCTACTCTTATCATTGGTCCCATTAAGTTATCATTATAGGTTCCTTATCTTTATTTCTTCAGTAAGTATGCTTTTGAAGAAGCTTTCTTCTTTTAGTAGTGTATCTGCTAAAAGATAGTAGGGAAGGAAGGAGCTTTTATTTAGCATTAAAATCTACTTTATGACTAAAGAAATAGCTCAAACTGAAGTGTTTTAGGTTTCGATGTGATAGATGGCCAGTTATATTAAAGTCAATTTTCATAAATGTTTCATAAACATTGTCTACATGTATGAAGTGCTTTTTAATTGGCTTATGTTGTTTTCTAGGACAGGCTTTAAATTGTGCTATATTGACTTATTTGCTTATGACTAGAAGAGCTTTATTGGTTATTACTTATTCTAGAACTTCTAATGAAACATACTTGAATGTAGTTGTTTAGAAGAACAATAAGAAGGTACAGTGAAGTAGGACTGTGGTTTGTCCTAGGATGTTGTTATAGAAAGAACATGTGGGCACAGCAGTTTTGTCTGATACAGTAAGACTAGGGTAACTAGAAGTTCTGAAATTTTTGGTGTGACAAAGTAATTTTGAATGGGCTTTGGTTGAGATTTTGAGTTGGGAGGGCAGGAAGGGACTTTAAATAATAAAAATCTTGAAGTGTCAAGATATTGCTAGTTACATATTTGTAACTAACTTTTTGTATCTTTAACTCATTCTTTCCCTTTACGGATTTCAATTAATAAAAATATTGGCATGAACATCAATATAAAGATGACTTAGGCTAAAAATATCTTTTTCAGGCATGAAAACAATCCAGTGGCAACATGTAAAGTGTCTAATTGCCTTTTGAGAAATTTTACGCTCTGCATTGGTAAATTTCATTGGTGAAGCAAGATATGAAATAACTAGCTGTGTGAATTGAATCAAATATGGTTCTGAAGATCTGTTGTGTTGGCACAGCTGTGGGCCATCCCATGAGGAGATGAGGATGTGTGAGGGTAAAATGACATCATTACGATGTGGTTGCTAAATAAATTCCATGTGGCACTGCTGACCATGTTTCTGATGTCTTCCAGCTGAATGGTCAGTATCTAATTTGGCCAACTTTCGGGGAGTTTTCCTTGTCCTGAAAGCCAGGTTGAGCTTGGTGCCTTGCTGAGCTGAAAACCTTTTGCCCTTGCTGTTTTGTCATTGCTGCCTTCAATGAGTAGTGTTCAATCTGCATCTAGCTTTAAGCTGCTCCGTGAATGTGAAAGTGTGATTGGAGCTTTGCTACCACTTCCTTCCAGTCTATTACTCCTTAGAAAAAAAGAATTTGGAGAGGGCACCTTCCACAGAGCCTCTGACTGAATTCTCGTAACTCAAACTTGAATGTGTTCGTTGAACTGCAAAAACTGACAAGTTTAAAAATGAGTGTTCAGAAAACAAAAAAAAAAAAAACAAACCCTGCCACAAGGGTGGTCTTTAGCCTAGTTTAGTTGTAAAATCTGCCATTCTAAGTAGAGGGTTGCAATGGTAGTAAGAAGGCATCTGGTATGTTATTTCCTTGATATTTTTATTTGTGATCAAACATCAAAGTCTTGTCATGCATCCATTTAATCTGATTTACACTGTGTATGTGTTTGCTTACATGCTATTTGTAATCACTTATTTAAAAAGTATTTGATCATGCAGAGGACGTTTGAGTTGATGTTAATTCACATATTGCAGAGCCAATGGGCTGTTTTTTTTGCTTCCTTCCTACTGATTTATTTACCAACTGTTGTCTTACACTGCCTTTTTTTTCCTTGTTTTCAAGTGTCAATTTACAGTATCTGGTTTTATGACAAGAATGACTGTCATCGAATAGCAAAACTCATGGCTAAGTAAGTACTGCTGTTTTGTTCTTCGTAATTCTTTTACGTAATACAACCACTATGTACTGTACTTTTGTTTTGCATAGAGAGAAATATTGCAGAACTAAAAATTGCATAAGGAGCATTGGCTGAATAGTGAAATAAAAAGGCTTGTTGTTGCTAAATTGCTGGGTTATTATTCAGTGTTGATTTCATTATTTTTTTTCTTTTTCTGGAGATAAAAGGCTGTTTATAATGCTGCCATGTCTGCTCTTATTTTGGAGCTCCTGAGACTCCTGAAGTCTCTTCACAGGCTGTGCAGCAGGAGCATTTCTGAAATGATCTCGTTTTAGAGGAACTTTAGAAGTTGTGTTTGCAGTAACAAAGTGTTCAAGCTGCTGTCCGTACAGCTGTACAGTTTCCGCATCTGTTCTGTAGTGCGGATGGTTGCACTGGCACTGCTGGAAAGGACTTCAGAGTGTAGAAGTCTGAGCAAGAGAGGCCAAGGGAAGCCGAAGCTGGTTAAGTTTGCAGTATGATGTGCTTAGTGATTGAAAGGTAGAGAGTCGTCTTGTGGTTATTTCTTTGCTTCAGGTGTGTTGTGCTGCTGATTGTCTGGTCTGTTGAAGAGGATGAGAATAGGCTTAAGTACATTTTCAGTATAACCTCTGCAGTTCTGTGATTCTGCAAAAGGGAAGAGTTTTGAAGCATGGGATGGGGTAGTCACCCCAGCAAAAATGCAGAATGTGTTTTATGGAGTATTTTCTCTTCCTTTGTACTCTACTTTGCTTTTCTTCACCATTACTGCTTTCTGAATTTTCTGCTGGATGCCTTAATCAACAAAATGTCTTTCAAGTCATGCCATCTTTAAAGACAGGCAAACATAATATGTAAAGTAGATGTAGTGTGAATGTCATTTCAAGATGAATTGCTGATTTATTTATTTATTTATTTATTTTTGTATTGGAATGATTGTGGGTTGCAAGATCTTGGAAACTGAAATTAGAGTTAACATTCCTAAAAATCTGTTTCATGCCTGTCTTGACCAATGTCACTTAAAACTTCTGATGCAAGTGAAACTAGAGAAATATGTAGTTATAAAAACTTACTGATTTAATACTTACAGAATACAGATAGTTACATTGTTCTGAACAGCATGGACTCCTGTGTCAGTATGATTGTCTTTTGCTACTACAAGGACTGCTCTGAAAGTAATGCTCCTCCTGTATTACGTTGGCCCATGACATCAGAGTTGACTGTTGGTGGAAAGGCGGTATTCCATGGCATGTTGCTGTCGTGTGACGGATGGCAGCAGACGGGCAGTCTGACAAAAGGGCATCCGACGTGGATGTGAGTATGAAGCAAAGGGATAGGATTAAATTCCTCTCGGTGGAAAAAATGGCATCCACTGATATTGGTGCTTGCTGAATGTTTATGGAGACCGAACAGTAGACATGAGCTCAGTGAGTGGTAGGTGTTGCATTTCAGCAGTGGTGGCAGCAGGGCACTTCTGCTGGTACGGACTTTAGTAGCTCAGTGCATGGGCCTTGTTCACTGCTGGCAAAAATGCATAGCTGGTGGTGGTGACTGTTGAAAGACAACAAATTCTCAGCTACAGGACGCTCAAATAGTGTTATTGTGCTCTTTCTATCTCTTGTAGTTTCCATGGAAATAAATAAGAAGTATTAATTTGGTGTAAGTTGACTGTGCTAGCTGAAGTTCTGCTAGTAGTAAGTCCTTCATTACTTTCATTACTTAAGTTATTTATTTTTTTTTTATTTTTAGGTCTTTCTGCATTATTAGAATATAGAATGCTTAAATACTCATGTGTATTGCTTTAGGAGTAACAAAAGAATTTGAGGAAGCCATTTTTGTATATCGAGAGAGGTATTTAGCATTTTTCTGCATGGCAGCAGGCCGTACCATACTTTAGTTCAGTGTATTTTTCAGTAACTATTTGTCTTTCAAAAATATTGTTTCATTGTTTTTTTTTTTTGTAGTGAGCAGTGGAATTTTGGATTGTGGCTGTTAGTACCGGTTGGTTTAGGTGGGTTTTGTTGTGTTGCTTATTGGAAAATGTACTGACTTCTGAGCACCTCGGAGATTCAAAAACATAACCATAAAAGGTTGCAAGGAGATTTGCATTCTCTTTCCTGCTGTTTGAGTTGACCTTATTGTGCCAGATTGAGTTAACAAGATTGTCAGCCTTCCATTTATATTTTGGTGGCTTATCTTTCAAAAGGAAAGTAAATTACTCTTCACAGGCTTTGTAATCTTCACTTCTCACATTCTCTCTCTCCTTGTCCTCCACCCATACTCTTCTGTGAGGTTGTGCCAGGTATTTTTTTAGTGCTGTAACTGCAGTTATTCTTGAGCAAACTGTCACAACCACTACTGTGTCCCTGAAGGAATGTGTGCCTCTTCCACTATCTGATATAATGGAAAGAAACAGCAGACCTTGTTTAAAGAAGTCTTAATCCTGATTGCATACAGAGCGTACTCAGAGTATAGACTAGTGTTAGTGGAAGCTTTTTCTTTTGATGTTTTTCTCCAGCTAATGTGTTTCTGAGCGTTGTCTTTAGAAAATTCTGGAATACTTCTTAGTGTGAAAGAAGTCTATAGGAGTGTTCAAACCACTTCAGAAGGAATTAATTTGGGTCAAGTGGAAATTGTTAGCGAAGGGTAGGATTTCTAAAAGGCATGGGCATAAAGCAGAGTTTTTCCTCATATTTGCCAGAATCCAAGTCTTTGTGGAACTTCATTGCTTTCTGACATGAAAGTTGTAATATTTTATACTGAGGTTAGCTTGTAGGCTTGATTTAACCTATTTCAGCCATCTGACCTAAACTATTTTGAGATACTCTTCCAGTTCTAGTTCATTGCTTGTATCTGAGTTTTGGGGGTACAGAGTTTGGGGCATTTACTCCCGCCGGCATCTGAATGTAACCTGCACAAGGCTACACTGAAGAGGTATTTATGCTTGTCTACATGAGAAGATAATTTTTATTATTCTTTAAGAAAAAAAAAAAAAAGAAAAAGGTAAGTAACACCTTGTAGTGGACACAAAAAAAAACAATTGTGAAATGCTCTGTAGCAATATTTCTGAAATGCCTCTGTAAAATTGATATACTTGTTGAAATTGTTTTTTTTATACCAGCTAGTATCGTTTCAATGGGAAGATGTTTTGTTGAAAGCTTTTGGAACAACTAGTGAGGAAAGGAGAGTCCGAAGCCACAAGCCTTCCTTTCACCTACAAGGCAGAACATGCATGACTTCAGCTGTCCAGAATTTGCCCTTTAACTGAAGTGTTTATTTTTCCTGTTGTAGCCACGCTGACACTTAAATCTCAGCAAAGTGTTCTGTTTCTTTCATCTTGCCTTCTCTCATCCCTAGTTTTGGATTTACATTTATACAAGTCCCAAGTCAGGACTGTATGACCATGTGGGGTGCTAGAACAAAATGTACTCTGATGGTGTCACCATAGAAACGTTTGTACAGTATTAAGCTGCTTCAGCCAAACCAGCACATGTTGCAATTCTTAGAAATTGTCTGGCAGAGTAGATTGGCCCCCAGATTCTGAGTTAGGTTTGCAGGTTAATGCTTGCATACAAATAGAGAAAGTTGTACTGAATAATGAAAATCTGGATAAATAAGCAGTGTGTATGATTAGAAGCTTTGAAACTAATTTTCCTGGTTAAGTCTGTTGCCTTTTTTAATCTAATCTTTCTTGAAGTAAACCCGGTTGAACTCTACTGAAGGGTCTTAGCTGCTAGAAAACTGGGAGGAATTGCAGACTTGTGCTGTTTTTTCTTTAGGAGTGGTAACATAGAGGTACATACAAACGTCTATTTACTCAGCAGTCTATATGCTGCAGAGTTATTCCTGAATCCTAGCTGACCAGAAGAAACTGGAGGCTGGAATGATTGGCACTTTCTGTGATTGCTGTGATGGCACCTCTCGGCTGCCCCATCAGCTCTGCAGCATGAGAGTTTAGGTGATGTGCCAGCTCCAGAGCTCTGCCCTGCTTTCTGTGCTTGTTTTTTTTCTTAACATATTTGATTAATGCAGGCTTAAAAAAAGAGGGGATTACAGGCTGGTGTGTGTTTATTTCAAGAAGATAAGCATTAGTGCATTGCATGGCCATGTATATCTTGTGAACTGCATGTGGATTAAGGGTAGAAATGTATGTTGCCTTTACTTTCGTTAATGAAATGCGTGAGGAATACATCTTCCTTATGTGCATCTTAATCATCTTTTAACAAGTTTTCTTAGTCTTAAGGCAGTATGGATAGTGAAGAAGTGGTGAATGAGCTGTAGGTGTCAAAGACCAGAGGAAGTGCATTGTTATAAGCCTACAAGTAATTGGATTTACTGCTAGGCAGCTAGAGAAGAAAATGGTTTGCTCTTCTTTCCAAAGCTCTTAGAGGGAGGAAAGGTAGCTTGCTCTAAGCTTCTTTCCAGACTGGCTCCAGAGACATCTGGTATGAGCCAGCTGTCTTCTTCCCCTGAGTGTTGTTTTCTAATGGTAGGCCTTGTCCTAAATTAGAACTGGTTTGTAATTGATTTTGTTGAATAGCATGACCTGGTGTGGCTGAACATGGAAACACTGCATGTTAAGAAGTAAGAAATTAAAAAAAAAAAATCTTTTACTCAGTCTTTGTTATAATGCGTGTACTCTTTGTATGACACTGATGTCCACATGTTTAGACATTTTTTTATAATAAAATGACAGTTTTACAGAAGCAGTGTTTACTGCAGGCAAATGCTGACTTAAAAACCAGTGCTGTGTTTGTAACTTTGGCCAACTACGTGTTAGGTTTTCATTTAAGCAGAACAAAATGTGTTTATATGCTGTGAATTGTGGTTTTCTTCACTGTCTTCTACAAGATGTGCATTCCAGATAAAATTTTGAAAACCCGTTTCTCCTTTCCTGTTACAGAGTGGTAGAACAAGAAGCTCAGAGATCGCAACAAGTTTCTCAGGACAGAAAAAGTCCCAGCAGAACAAATGGCTGCAGTGAGAACAGACCTATTGACATCCTGGAAATGCTCAGTAAAGCCAAGGTTGAATATGAGCGAGTAAGGAAATGTATTTATTTTCTTGCATTATGAGCAAAAGAAAGCCCTTCCGAGTAAGGGGGTTAAGGCCTCATATGGAGTCTGGTGAAATGCATCCCTTGTGACCTGTGTGAGAGCAATGGTAGAGAAGTATTCTTGTGTACTAAGTTGTACCGTGTAGTGTGCTGTCATCTAAGATTGAAAGTAGCACATGTAACCTGTAATTTATTGGGCCTGAAATCTTGTATATTTGAATTGTTACCTCCTGGAGAAAAAACACTGTATTGAAAACAAATACCTGGGGAAGCAAATGCAACAAATACTTTTTTTTCTCAAATAGATGCCAAGGCTCCATAGTATCAGTATTTATCTACTGTCATGTCTTGAAATCAGTCGCAAAGAAAATGTGAACATATATGTAACACTGTAGAAGAGTAGATGACTGGTTTTTTTTGATCCTGAAGCTCCACTTCTGTGAATATTCCTTAATAGTAGCTGACATTTGTGTTTTTTAGTTTTTTTCCCTCTGTATTGAAAATCACTGGAGGTTTGCTGTTATTCATGCCATAATCAACAACATTCATTGGGTTGCATACCAAATTGCTTTGGCCTTAAATAAGAAAGAGCCCACTAGCTGTGCACTGTCCTGTGTTTGTGATATGAGCAGAGATGCACAGTGACCTACAGGGCTGTGGTTATACGAGGTGAAATTCTTGGCTTAAGCAGGCAACTTAGCCAATTTTTTTTTTATCTTTTTGTTGGTTGGAAAACCTATATAGAAAGTAGTTTTTAACACACTTGAATGTGTTTCTTTTAAAGAGAAAGCATTCTCTGCCATTGTTCCAGTAGCCTTGTTGTCACACTGCTGCCTTGTTTGCTTCCTCACTATACTGTATTAAGAAAGTCTCATTGATTCTGTGATATGACTTGAAAATGGAATTTGATAGACCCATTCCACAAAAATTGCTAATGCTGTGAGAAAACTATCTCTAGGAGTAGCAAAAAAAATATTATACCTGACGATATCAGTATTCATAGTAAAAAAATAAATCCCGTGGAAAAGGGCTGCAATTTAGTCAGTGCACATTTACATTCTATAAAGCATATTTTAACTGCTGTAGACCAGGTGTAAACTTTTCCTGCTGTTCCCTAGTGTACTACTTCATTCTGCCTTCCATGTGTCTATCCCATAATAAATTATCTCAGAACAGTGGGTTCTGAGTGCAGAATAGTCTGTTGCCACTATTAAATTCACAAGTTTAGATAATGAAGGAAAATATTAGTTCTCTTGAAGTAATTAATTTGCATAGTCCTGAGAGCCAAATTCAAACGTGGAAGACACAAGTGTTACTTTTTCTGGGTTTTGCACAAATTGCCCTAGAAATTCTGAAGGCATTTTTTTCTAAGCCTACTGATACAAGAATATACAATAGTAATGTCTTGGCATAATGTGGCAGAGATGGTGTGGGTTCTTTTAGCTGTGTTGGTGGGAGAAAGGTAGAAGCATTTCAGTGTTTTATTTCTTGTGCTGTGGGATGCTTCAGAGTTCCTACTGAGTAAATGCAAGACCTTCATAGGATTCGAGGTTGCTACAACACATTGTGGAATGGGAGGGGAAAAAAAAACACGTGGGCTAAGCCATGTGCAAGCCAACTTCTGTGCAGTTTTTCACGTAGCGTGAGGATAGATGAATGTGACAGACCATAGACTGTAGTTGACCTGGACTAGATACTAGTTTGTGAAAATCAGTATTGTTTTCAGAATGTTTTAATGTAAATACCAAAGAAAATCTGCCTCTAATGCTTAATGCATTAATCCTGTTTGAGAAGAAGGTCTTCCACAATGTTGGCTTTCATACGAAGTAGCAGTTTTTGTTAGAGCACAAAAGGGAGCATCAAAAGCTGAATGACTCATTTTTCAATGTTGTATCAAGTAAGACAGATTTGAAGAAATTGAAGGCTTTTTTCTTATTAAAGGAAAAAAAAATCACTCCAGATATTTTGGCTTCTCCATTCTTAATTTTCTGGTCTTTTTGTGTGAGAATGTTGAAAGCTTTTCCTTAGTAACAGAATTCCTAAGCATAGTGGATGAAGCTCTGTAGAAAAGTAAAATACTGATAAATAGGCTGTGGCAGCTGTCACACAGTATGGAAATGCACAGATGTACTACATATCTGACTTTTTTACATCTCAATCTTGATTTTGCTGCCTGATGCTTTTAGAGCACCTTTGTAACTAGAAAAACTTTGCTTTGTATGTATGTGAGCTGAAAACTGAATCTGCCAAACTTAATCCATTAACCTGCTATGACTGCAGTTCTGAACAAGTTGGTAGATAAATAGAATTGAGTAAACTTTTTGGAGGATGTTCTGCTGACCGCTTCAGCTTTAGTGCCAAGGTTCAGGTGTGTTAATTATAGAGTTCCTCGTAACCAGCATACATCATTGTTAATATGATTAGGCAAGCAACTTGAAGATGGCTTCTTAAGATATCCTTTCTAAATTTTTTAAAAATTATTTTATGGCACTCAATAATTACACTTGAATTTGTATTTAGGAGCAGAAAGTACTTATTTGCATGGTACATTCCAGATGGATCATACAGTAATCCTTGTGTGCAGCCCACGAGAGATTGGCAGAGTGTCAGCGTGAGAAGGGGGCAGAGAGTGAAAAAGAGATTTATGAAGGTCTGAGTGATTTAATCTAGGATTCCAAATCAGCTTAAATCCTTCAAGTACTTGCTGCATCTAGGCCATATGTGAAAATGAATGAATTCTGAGATTTTTTTTTTAATGAAGTGAATGGATGTTTTTTTATAGTGTTTTTGTGTTCATTTCATTCTGAGAATGGAAACATTGCGGATTATCCTCTATTGAAGGAAATCTCTGTATTTTGTTTTGTTTCTGTAATTAACTCTAAGGCAGTCCACTACTTCAGGCCCAAAAAGAGGCCTGCTAACCTTTCAAATTGGTGGCTAAAAGGCATAAAGGCAGGAGTTGTTTCTCTGTCCATTTTGTATTTATCTCTTTCAAATAGATTTAGAAAACAATAATAAGGCTCAGATTGTTTCTAACTTCTTGCTGAAAGGTTTAACCTATATTTTGTTGCTGTGACAGGTAAATGACAAAGAAATGGTATGTTGTGCTGATGTTCAGCCATACAGAGATAAGGTGTAGTTAGGTTCATCTACTAAATGCTAGACTGTTAGTTCTATGGTTGCTCTTCCACTAGTGCTTTAGGTTGTAATAAGTGTTGTTCATGTATTTGTTAAGCATGAAAGTCAACTCAATCTGTAAACAGTTGTGAGCTTATTATTACTTTGACTTTCTTGTCCTTTTAGCCTTATTCACCTAAAACCCAGTTAACATCTTCTGAAAATACTGCATGTTATTAAAATCTAGTGGAAATAAGTCATCAACAAGCTCTTTATCCAATCGCTTCAGAATGATTTCTGGCAAGTTTTTTTTCTAAGCAGCTTTAAGTTCTTGATTTAATGTCCTCAATGGCAGCTAATGCAGGAAAAGAATGTGAAAAGCCTGTCTTTATTTTCTTTGTTTTATTCACTCCTTTAAAAGGAAAAGTGTTATGAACACATGCCAGATAATGTATAAGCGTTATGAACTCATGCCAGATAATGTATATCTTGGTATGATTTTACTTCCTGAGACTTGGGAATTCTGTGATGTCTGTCAAAAGTCAGTGTTTTGACCAAAGTGGGTCCGTATTTTTTTTTTTTTTTTTTCCCCAGAATCAAGTCAGTGATTTGAGTGTCATGTCAAGTTCTGGTGTGCAACAACATGCAAATGCCACAAAGCCAGAAAGCACAGAGACTTCTGAACAAAACACTTCATTACAAGTGCAAGATCAAGTAAGTTTAATTCAAACATATATAAGGTGCTACTTCTTTATTTAGTACTTTGCTTTTGTACCAGAAATGCCTGCAGCATCATCTTGCTGAATGTATTTTGCTTAACTTTAAATACATTTGGAAGTGTAAATTCAGTTTAAGAATGGGTTTTAGTCTCTATTCTCATCTCCTGACTGCTTGTCTGAGATCGGCTGGTATGATTCACCACCTCCACCCCCTTCTAGATAAACTAGTGGGTTTTAAGGCTCTTAGGAGCCTACAATCCATTTTTTTTCCTTAATGCTTAAAAATATAAGATGGTGTCCACGGTACAGTGAATATTCAAGTGTGTTTAAATGGGTTAACTCAGATCCTGGTGTGTCGTGGGCTCTATGCTGTCAGTCCATGATAGTGTAGAGTTCTGTGCAAAATGACTGCGGAGTGAGGAAGCAGACAAAAATCACCTGTGTCACAGCGACAGAGTGAATATGGCATCAGTCCGTTGTTCGCTGTTCTGTAGACTTCAGAGCAGAAGCTCAAGCCCTGCTTTCCCGTGTGTGAGACCTGTACTTAAGGTTTGTCTGTGCTGCATCCAAACGTGTAGCTACACTCCTACTAACTGAAATCATTGGTGAATTGCTGGATTTTCTGATTATTATTTTTGTTTTAGACTTCAGCTTTGCATTCCTTCCTTGGCAGCAAAGAATATCTTCCAAACATTTTTCAGCACTGTCAGTAAAGAATGTTGCTCAAGTTTGTGGTAATTTAATTGCATGCACAGTGCTTAGATCTGTTTCGGATAAATATTAGATAAATGTTCAGTCAGCATCTATCTTCATATGTACAGATTCTAAAGCCTAGTGTTACCACTGTAACTGAAGATAAAGCCACAGTTGGTTTTTTGTTGTTTTTTTAAAAAAGGTAGTGGCAATAACCTGTGCTTCATTTAAGTGTCTTTGAGCGTGGGAAACTTGTTATCAAAATAGTGTAATCACTGGAGTGGTTGAAATATAGGCTGCAAAAGTTCATTAATTGACTTTAATTGCCTTTTTTCTGGTAAGCATTTATAAACAAAGCACTTTCATATAATACTCTCTAGAAATTGGTTTTAAAATGATAGCTTGTGCTACATCTAAATTCTCTGTACCAACTTGTACCTGCTTACAGTGCCACCCAGTGGGGACAGAAAGATCAGGAGCAGTTCTCTACAGAAAATACCCCACTGAGGTGATCTGGAGGAGTCTGCCTCCAGGTCCTTCCTGTAGCTTTACTGTTATGTTTTGAATGCCGTAAACCACCATGTCTGCAAAAGGAAATGCCTGAGGAAAATGTGTGTGACCTTTCATTTAATATTTGTAAACAAAAACTTAATTTGTAGTAAAAATAATATCTAGTTCAGGTTAGGATATGAGTAGCAAAAATCTGCTTACGTTGATGGGTTAAAACAGGAGGACAAGAGAAATTTCTTCGGATTACTGGCTGTCACAGTGCCCTCCATCTCAACAGCACTTCTGATGTAGAACCAGCACAAGTGATAGACTGACCCCTGGCAGCCAGCTCTGCTTGCTGCATGCTTATGCTTGAGGCCTGGCAGAGGTCTGCCTGAGGCTTTGTTTAAAAGAAACATAGTCTTTTTGGCCACGTAATTAGCTGAAATGGCTGAACTTGCCGAACAGTAATAAGTAACAAGGGAAAAAATTAGAAAGATGAGATTCTAGTAAAATGCTATGAAATAATTAACAAATTTACAGAGCAGATAAAGCAGTGTGCTTTAATGCCTTTTCTGTTGAGCAACTTAAAACTATAGCTGCAGAGATATTGAGGGGGGGAAATGGTTGCTATGTGTGATACTTTACTTTTGTAAAACTGGGTGGGTTCAAATACAATACAGTGATGATTGTTCTTAATTTCTTTTTTAATAATGTGGGCTACTGAATGAAGAAAACAATTTCAACAGTAAGAGTATATTTTTACCTCATTAGAGCAGATGACCAGTGAAATTAAAAACAACTGTGCATATAAGTACTTTGAGATCCTGAAACCCCTCTCAGAATGTCACATTTGTATATTGATTACTTGCTAAGGATGTCACAGATGTGGGAATGGCAAATCGATGTCTGCTCCGTGATATTTAGAGGTTCGAATTATGTATCCAGTTCAAAAAGAAAATCAGTGGTCAGCAAAACTGAACTAGAACACTGAAATTAAATTTCTTAGCACAAGCTCTGGCTGCTAATTTGCATGTCTCAGTGTATCTGAAATGATTTCTGGAGGAACCCTCTGGGCAGCGCTCTGTTCCTCTCAAGTAGAATGATCGTGTTGCCCTCTTTGCAAGCCCCTGCAGAGAAGGGTCTCCGTAACACAGTGGGTTGATGACATGCTTAAAATGCAACTCAGCCAGAGATGAGATACACAGCACATCCCTTTGCTTCACTCATGTTGGGAATTAACTCAATGTTTGTGTCTATATCCATGGAAGCAGCTAACCTGACCAAGATTGGAGCATGATAGATAGCAGTGAGTTAATAAAGAGAGGCTAGTCAGCTCATCATACTGAGGTTAAAAGCAGAATTTCAGATGGAATAGTCGCTTACTCCTTAACAGAATTCTTGTCCTTGAAGAATGGGTCTTTACAGTGATAAGATCAGTGGAGAAGATTTGAAAACAGCTTCATAGGAAGACTTCCTAGCATAGGAATTGGCAAGGTTTATAAACAGTAGAATGTCATAAGTGCAAGATGAGTGTGCCTGGCATTAAGCCAGCTATTAATAAATAACAGCATTGGTGGCACAAACGAGTAACCTGGGCAGAATTCAGTAAGATTTCAAGCTCAAGGCTTTGTGCTAGGCTGCTTACATGTTATCTGCACTGCACTATGTTCATTGCTGTTATCAGTGTTAGTAAAATTGGAACAAGCGTAGCAATGTTGTGATATAGTAGTTGTCATTGCACAATACTGTCTTTGTTTTGACATACCATAAGAACATGCTGGAGTTATGCTGCAGGCCATTCAGTCTTCTGAACAGAAGGTTATATTTTAGTCCAGCTGTTTTACATAACTTCTGGTCCTGTGCAACCTAAAAAAAAAAAAAAAGCAGGAACAGTTTGAGATATTGTTGTTAGTAGCTGTTTCTTTTCTCTGTAGAAAAATGCATTTGAAACAATTTCAGCTAAAATAACTGGCTTGGAATAAATCTTGCTTATTTTATGGTAGAACTGGCAAGTAGAGAATGAGGAATTAGCTTAAACTCCTAGAGAAAAAGCATTCTTTTTTCTGCGAAATGGTAAGCATGAGCCTGTGATTCATTAGGGTTGATTTATTTTTTTTTAAATGCTTCCAAAAATATTTGAAATCTGTTGGACAGCTGTTTGAACTATACTGTATTGCTACTTTAGCAGCTGAAATGCATGCAGGTCTGCTCAACCCTACCTTTGATTTGCTTTCTCATTCTGTTGTTACTTTTTCTTTGAAAGGAGAAAGTGAAAACAAATGACTTGGGTTATTTTTGTTACTACGTGTCACCTTAGTTGTCTTATTAGGACTTCTCCTATTTCTCCTATACTGAGACTAATCCTTTTTCTGAGGAGACTCCTAAAATAAGGAAAAAAGCATTTTTCTATTTGTGTAGCCAACATATGATTTGATAGGAGTGCACTGTTCACAACATAACTTGTTTTGAAGGGGAAAAAAATAACAGTAATACACAAGTTCTTAGTGGACAGCTGTTTCTCTTTGCTGACCTTGTATTGTTTTTTTAACATAGGGAATGCTGTTTAAATTTCTCTTCAAGGAAATTTGATGTAAGAGACTTTCAGCACATTAGAGGAAATACATTTTTTTTTTTTTTTTCAGTACCTTACATTAATGTGAGTGTAGGATTTAGTGACAGAACCAACTTTGGCTTAATGTTTTATTACACTTTCAGCAAAACACTGTAGCTATCACATTTCAAACCCCAGGTGGCTCAAAATGTCTTCCCCAGAGCCAGGCTTGCTCAGTTAAAACTTTTAAAACTTTTGCCTCCTTAAAACTTGTGAAATTACCAACGTATAGTGCTTCAGCAGAAGGCCATAACTGAACATAGAGTTTAATTTACTGAAGTAAAAGTGGTAGTCTGCATGGCTGTGTGCAGTTACTAGTATATTATTATTTGTTCACATTTGGAACAACTGACGTGGCTTGAATCCTGTCAGCTTTAGATGGCTGCTGTCAGTTATCCAGCTTATTTTATATCAACAGAGTCTCTTGGAATTTGCTGTATTGTGAAACATGGCTAGTCTTGAGTTAATTAGCAGCGTCATGGTTCAACAATATTTATGTATAAAACCTTTGAGTCAGGGGGAGGGGCAGGATGTGATTAGTTTATATAGACTGGATATTCCTTGTAAATGAAATGGACTTAAACGTTTCTCTAAACAGAGGACAGTTGATTTCCAAATTGTATTTTAAATACATCTGACCTAGCTGTTTCTCATAGTTTTCTTGAAATTATAATACTGACTTTGTCAGAGGCACATTAATCTTTTCTTTCCAAATTAATTATATTATATTAATTATAAACTTCCTTCTCTGTTCTTTTTAGCCATTTCAGTCAAGGCCAAAGCATCTGACTTTAGAAGAACTCTTTGGGACCTCTGTACCAAAGGAACAGCCTTTACCTCTGTATCCCAATCCAGAGAGAATGGAGAAGTTGCAGACTGACTCCTCTGCCAGAGAGCAACAAAACTTGCTTTTGCCTTTTTCCTTTGACCAGACAGCAGTAATACAACCACCACAAGGGAAATCGGAAAGTCCGAACGTTAAAGCTAGTGCCAATCCTTTGAGTCAACAGGAATGTTTGACACCTATGCTTATACCTCCAGCCTCGGTTTCCCAGCCTGATGTTTCAAGCTATTCAGTTCGTTTAAGCCCTATACTTAATTCATCCTCAACAATGGATGCTTCTCCTGCTCAAATGCTTCCTGGCCTAAAGCAAAACAACAGTCTAATGCAAGTTATGCAGCAAGCTACCAAGCAGATAACCCCGCTAGTGAATCAGCCTTCTGAAGTGAACCATGCTCCACAGAATTTAATGGCTGGCCAGAGCCAGCTTATAACACCCTTGACATCAGCAAACACAGGACCCGTTTCAAACACATCCCATACAGGTGTTGATCTTCTCCAGAAACTCAGGTTGACTCCACAGCATGACCAAATGCAACAGCAGTCTATCACTAAGACTTGCTTAACACCAAACATCTCTGCCTCGATTGGCCAACTTGCAACACCAGAAAGCTTCAAAGAATCACACAGTAAATCATCAACCTTGAACAGCAAAAAAATCCCTTCCCTGCAGGTATTCTTTGAGTTATGTCCCTACAGATTTAAACTGTATAGGTTGCAAATATTTTTTCATGTGAAATTATGCTGTTGCATATATACTTTTTAAAAATAATCAAGGAATTCTTGTGTGTGACCGATCAGATTGTGAACCTTGAAATCTAATTCTTGCCATTAGTACCTGCCGTCAGTGACAGACTTCTATATGGAGGAAGAGTTTTTTCAGGCTGCTGCTGTTATTACATGAATATATTCTAAGGAATTTGCCTGTACTTGTGTCAGAAAAATGCAGCAAAATGTAATGTGAGAAGAAATTGGCAGTTGCAGATTAATTGGTGCTACAGGAGTTAGTTCTGTGGAAATATATACCCCATGCCTTCTTTGAAAGTACAAAACTAACAGCTTCCTGTCTTGGATAATTTTGCCTTGGGAGTTTCATACCATTTTAGTATTGACCACTTCTGTTGGGGATTTCTGTGTATTCCACTGAGATGTTATTTAGCAAAATAGGCCATAAACTGATTTGTTTTGTCTGATTAACAACCTTGATCTGTATTATCCAAGAATCACTTGTAAGGGGCCTTCTAAACTTTTTGTTTCTTGCAGGCAAATCTATTGTCTATGCCTCAGTATAACCCAAAGCAACAAGCTTGGTTTGAGAGACTAGGTGAAAATGTTACTGCTGTTCTGCTAGGCTAGTGCCTGTGGCTGCACTGTAACCGTTCTGTCAGTTAGTGTTGCTCTGCTTTACTATTGGCTACTTCTGTGGTAAAGATGTTACTTTAGATGATTTTGTGGGTTTTTTTTCCTCCAAAGGCAGTAGTAATTCTCTGTAGTGCCCTATTTGGAGGTTGTACAAACTTGGTTGCCTCTTCTAATTACAATCATAGGCAAAGCCAAGGTTTGATCTTTCTTGCTTCTGGGTACAGTGATAATGTAAGAACAAAAACTATCAAACAAAACTACTTACTGCTGTATCCAAGTTGTGAATTATGCTCTCTTTTCAAATTAGGCTGTACAACAAAACAAAGAACCAGAAGTATTTCCACAGTCCAAGACTTTACCTAAAGTCAGTCAGGTAGGTGAACAAACATTTCAGCACATTTGGTTTACTTGTAAAATAAAATGCAAATTTTAAAACTGCGGTAATTGGTATCTGAAATTGTCATATTGCTTACTCTGACAATATCTGAAGTGCTTTCATTGGTCAGAAACAAGCTGTACTGAATCAAGGAAGTATTTCTGTAAACTGCTGTGAGTGTGCTTTTCTCCTGTACAGTATAGTTTATGGCTGGTGCTAGTACAGATATGGTAATACATTTTTGGATCTGCAGTATTGCAGCACCGTTTGAACAGGTTTTTCATTTGCTCTATTTCAGTACTATTGTTATAACATTGCTGTGGGATCTGTCAGCCTTACGTGCCTCAGAGTGGATTTCTGTGGTAAAATGTCAAACAGACCTGTAGAAGGATGGGATGGGGAAGGTGATTGTCAAAGTATTTCCCCATTTTCTCTCTCTCCTGTCTGGTTGCCTTATAGTGAAAAAGATTGTGTGCTTTAATATTTTAATTATAGTTCATTGGTCATTTTAAAATATATTTTTAAATGTATTTGAAATTCGGAATTATTTTACTCCCAACCATACGTGTACTTGGAGACCATTGAAGTACAAAAACAATAGGAAACAAATGCACTAGGGTTGCCCTTTGTGTAAACTCCTGAAGAAGAAGGAAATTTGAAAAACTAACAGCACAAAAACCCCATAGTTTCCTTTCACGATTTAGATGAAAAGCTCATCTTCTGTGATGTTTGGGGAAAAAAAGCTGGGAAGTAGCAACTACATGGGAATGGGTCTACATGTAAGAGCACTGAAGGCTGCCAGCTTCTTCAGCTTCAAAAATAAGGATTTCTGTTGACACTGAATTACTTGGTAAATAGCATTGCATTGTGAGTAGCTGTTCTGTAGTTCCTTTCTAATTTACTGTACCAGTAGCTACGATTTTTAATATGTTTATGTTCATTTCTACAGTCTTTTTTATAACAGCGTTCATTCCTCTGGACACGGTGCTTATTAACTTTCTTTTTTCTGCAGGTTGCACCTCCACAGTTTGTTACAGCTACAACTACAGTAGCTCCTTCAATCCTCTTGTCTCCTAGTGTTTTCCAGCAGTCAGCTACAAAACCTACTGAAGTGGAAAATAAAGCCAATTCTTCATCACCTTTAACACTTGGAACAACAGAGATTCAGACAGTACCTCCTACTGTTCTCAGTAGGTCTCAGCTTCAGGAAGCACTGATACATCTAATAAAGGTCCTGTCTGAAGAAAACTCAGTATCTGAGGGGTGGGGTTAAAAGTACAGTACAGTAGCCAGTACTGAGACTTCAGTTGTAAGATGGATGACTTGCAAGGACAGAGTTCTGCTTGAATCTTTCTTTCACACACATCAACTTGTGAACACTTGAGGAAAAGGTTATGAGTATAGCAGCAGTAGTATGAGGGGCAAGGATTGGGTTTCTTTTAAGTGTTTCTGTTTTCCTTTGGAAAACTTTCCTGTTGCCAATTACTTCAAGCTGTTCCTCATCTTTAATGTGTGTATATTTGGAATGGAAGTTACAAAAAGTTCTAGCTGTACCATTCTTACTGACTAAAAAGTTCAGCTGAATTAAGTCTGTAATGTTGGGAGTAGCTAGACAGATCAGCTATGTTATAGGTAACAAGTAGGAGTTACCATGGATGACAGCCATTCTCGTAGTTCAGGATTCTCTAGCTTTCTCCGTGCTGATGTTACTTGGTCTTGCACTCAAAATGCAGGTCTGAAGTAGCAAATAATATCTTCCCAATTAAAAAATTATGATCAAAAGGGCCAACACCAGACCGCAGTATCATCTCAATTGCCAGATTTACGTGTTGGCTGTTTTTGCATATTAGTGTGTAATTTTTTCTTTAAAGATACAAAACTAGCTTGCCTCTAAGTCTTGCAGCTGAGTTCAGTTGTCAGAGGTCTTCGCTGTTCTCATTAGAGATTCTCACCTTAATGGTCTGAAGAAAGTTGCTGTGGTCACTTCAGAGAGCTGACCGGAATGTCCGCGTCTCTAGTCTTCTCTTTCTGTATTGCTGTATATAGGCAGCAGTTGCTGTACCCCCACAGCAGAGGAGTACTTGCAGAGTGCTCCAAGGTGAACACATATTCACTATGTAGAGTTTAGTAGAAAGAGTACATCTTCAGCCTAGATAATTACCTACTATCTGAAGGAGTAGGACTCAGGAAATATCTCTAAATGCTTTCTATTTCACTTCCCAGTAATTCTTTGACACGGAATTTTCATATAACTCACTGCAATCCTCAGACTGATTTTGCAGGCAGAACTAACTCACGTAATTTTTGACACTTCTGCAGCCTTTATTTGGATGTCGGTATACAGGGTGGAATTTACTGTATCTTAATTTTTTTGTACTCTTCTCAAAGAAAGTGCATAGAAGACAGTGAAATTGTGTAGCCAGGGCTGACCTTGGGGCTGCTGTTTTTTTATCTGAGTATCCATTGTGCTTAGTAATCACTTTAGCTGCCTTCACAGTTTCAAAGTCTGTGTTGTCTGTACAGCACTGCCTTTTGTACAGGTAGGCAGCTAATTCCCTTGCCTTAACCCTCAGATAGATAGCAGCGTATTGCGACTCTTATGCACAACTTAAACTGACTTAAATTTTACTTTTTTTTTTTTTACATCTTTTTACTAATGTTTCTGATGTTTTTTTTTCCTGCAGAATGATTCCCGTTTTCTCAGCACTATTCATGAAGTCTACTTGCAAGTCCTAACCAAGAATACAGACAACATTAAGCTATAATCGAAGCTAAATCTGCTTAGAATGTTACCACTTTAGAAATAATTATGCCTCATCTATAAAACTGATATTTTTTTAAAAGATACTTAGTTTTCAATGTCTTGAATTTGAACCCGTTAGGAAAGAGTATTCCTTAAATACTTCAAGAAAGTAATGTTCTCAGAAGTGATTTAGGTTTTCACTGTGATTGTCACCAGCAGACCTTTCTTTTTATTGGGGGAGGGGATTTAATTTGCTTATGAGCTTTCATTTGCATTTTTGATCATGCACATGTTTGCTCTGGCTTTTGTTCCTAGCTGTATTCACCTCTCAAGGGTTACAGACTACGTACTACTTAAGCTAGCACATATGTAGTATAGTACACTACACCACACCAGAACAAGACTTGATTTTGGAACCTAGTTCCAATTCTAAGGTGAGAATTGAATGCCTTGTGACTAAGGTGGCAGATGTGGGGAAGAGAGGGATTTGGAAGCCAGGCCTTTGTAGCTAAATCTTTAAACAAAAGCTTTAAAACGTGATTTGCTGAGTACTTTAACAGTCTCTGGCTCGTGCTGATCGTTTTATCTTTTAAATATTTCATTAATCTTACTGCTTCATGTTTGACATAAAACAGATATCCAAGTGAGTAAGGCTGTTTTCTCTAAAAAGGTGCAATCAGAAATATACAAAATCTTCAATGATTGTATTAGTTTTAAGCAACAGAACAGTTCTGTTGTAAGTTGAGGTTCTTTCAGGTTAAGTGTAGGTAGGAGGCCACCACTGGAAGACCACTTTCCTGTTCATTAGTGTTTGATATGACTGAAATACTTTGTTTCCCTTTTGGCTTAAGGATGGACCATATCTTGTTTGGATTTCATTCCTCAGTTGTATCATAACTGCAGTGTTGAGAACTAAGCAGATGGGGAACAACTGCATGCTCTTCTCTTGGCTTCTCTCCAAATTATTTGTCTATACTTCATGCTCTGAAATGTATCTAGTTAACATGTTACTGCTTTTTGTATATTATTTCCTAGTTCAGCAATGTAAGAATTTAGCATCATACTTTCTTATTTGAAATCAGAAAGATTTCTAACTATATTTTCTTATGCTACTGTGTTGGTTTACCCATGGCTTGTATTTATTTCATGAAGTTATACAAAGGTAGTTAACAGGACTTCAGGTCTGAACTTTTTCCAGCAATACTAATTTTAAAGGATGCTTTTGCAATTTAAGGAAAAAAAAAATTTTTTTGGTTTATTCAGTAAAAAATTAGTCTGTAGTGAGTTCTGATGCACTGCTTTTTTCCCCTTCCCTCAAGCACTATTGAAATTGAAGAAAAAGATTTAGTTCCTTTAAAAAAAAAGAAATTATGCATATCCTAAGGATTAGTGGAGATTAACATAGTCAACGTACCCAGTCATTTTTGTTGCAGACTAGCAATGAGCTTTAATTGTTACTTTTCACAAACTGGTATGTTTTAGATACAACAGATACTTACATTTTTATGTATTTGATCTGTTTTAGTTTTTTCATAGTTTTTTAGTAGAAACTATATTTTCTTTAGCACTACCTGCCTTCTGAGAAGTTCTTTGCAGCCTTTGAGTTCAGTGTTTTCAGTTAAAATATATGGTAGTTTTGTTAGAAAATGTGCAGGATTCAGGGAATTATGCTAACGTCCTGCACATTCATCAAGAAATTGATTGGCTTTAATTGTAGCATTTGAACTCAGCAATATGGACTCTGCGCCTTGCTAAGGAAGATGGGAACTTCCTACACAAATTCTGGAGTTAGGATACTGTGTGGGGGTATGAACAGTAACACTCCAGTTAGGTATAAGGTCTCAACTAATCTGGTGGTTGTTTTAGAAGAACTTTAATAAACCCATGTGCAGTTTGTGGGGGAGGGGGGGGGGGTGTGAATGCATAGTGTAAGCCAAATGCAGAGCCACTTTTTCAAAGGTGAGTGTTCATATTTCCCTGGCTTTTACAGACAGCTTCCAGTTTCTTTGAAGGAAGATTTGATTTGTGTTTCTAAGAATAGAAATAACGAATGATATTTGTTGCTAGATACAGTCGTATCCAAAGATATGTAGTAACAATAGAAAGAGTTGTATTTTGAGTTCTTAAGTGATACAGAGTTGAGAAAAATAATACTGCTTAGAGCAGCAGTGGTGTTCTGGGAGTTTGACTCTACTCTGACAGCTGAATATCCTTGGCTTGGTTTTGTCATGCACTGGTAGCAGTATGTTATCAGTTCCCCCAGCTATAAAAATGAATTGGAAGACAAACAATCAAATCACTTCTACTGCAAGAAAAATTGTTCATCTTGAACACCTACGTGGATATTTGGCCTGGCCTCTACGTATAGCCCATAGACACTGGAACCTACTTGGGTGTCTTCCAGTATGCTGCAGTTAGTCTGTCATTTATGAGCAGTGAGATAAATCTCTTCAGAGATAAGTTGCATTGTAAAACACAAGCTTAACTACAGTGTAGAACTTGAGTTTATTTGTAATGTAGCCTGTGTTATTTAAGAACTTTAATTTCCTGCTCCTCTTAATTTTTGCATAAACCTAAAATTAGCAGCTTGTCGCCATACTTGGTTTGTGTTAGCAATAACTAGGGCATGTAGAAGTGACCACGGAGTCATTGCAGCAATTTGTTTTCACCGTTTTCAAGTGTGGAGTTTATTGGTGGATCTGCTGGCTTAATGGATTTATATCTATTAGTTCTGAGAAGGAAGAGGTTTGTTTAGACTTTACTCTTCACATTAATTGCATTGTCTAAGCGTGTTTTTTTTTTGTGGCTGGTGTTTAACTCACTTTAAATTAAAAATGAGAGAGTTAAGCCTAATCAAAAACAAAACATGCAGCTGCTGCTTTATTCAGGAAAATCAAAATCCTCAGTTTTGTAGTTAGACTTGATCTGCTGGTTATTTAATAATGCAGAGTTTATATGAAAGGTGCCTAACATCTGTTAACTTAGAAGCAGTGTATCTTTCCAAATTAAACAAGATTTGGGGAATGATTGAATAACGTTTTAAAAAAGCTTAGTTATTTGTTTTGGTTTCTTATGTATGTTTAGCTTTGTGCATAAATACTCAATATTTAAACATTTGCTCCTGGATGTATCTTGGTTTTGCTCGCATTTCTGACTGCTTCATTTTGGTATATTTCTGAAACCCACTGTGCCACGTGTAGTCACTGATAACACTTTCTGAAATATGTTTAGAATAAAATGTTAATTTGGGCCTTCTTGTTTTTAAAAGTATTGTAAACAATTCATCTACCCTTTTGCCAGCTATTTGTGTTGCTTTGAACAGCATATCTTAACAGGAGGAATGTGTGCAATATATCACCTCACTTTTGTCTGGCAATGTTACACAAATGTTAAGATGAAATATTTTCCCTTCAAGTTGGAAATACTGCAGTATCTTTAATTTGGTTGTCTATTTATATTTATCTAGTCAGTGTATGGGCATATGGTTGTTTGGCTTAGTTTGTGTTTGGTTTTTTAGTTTATTTTTTAATGTGTGTTATGTGCTTTGAGCAATTCCTGAGTTTTACCACTTCAGTGGGTGCACCAGTCCCATAGCCATCTGCATGTGCTGTGAGATGGAGACGACGGGGAAAGAGGCCTTCAGGAGAAATTTCTGGGAACTGGGAATGAGAGGAATTTTAAGTCAACAAGTGAAGATACTGCTTCATTAACATTTTTAGTATGGTATGGATTTTATAGCACCTATGTATGTTTGCAGTTATTAAGTTATTGCATAAATGTTTAAGAATGAACATTTTTCATCCAAAATTTTGTATGTTTGCAAATATATTTTTGTAATAAAACCTCAAAACAATGTTTCAGCACCTCCTAAAATCTTGTAATGGTTCATTTTTATTTCTAGAGTTCAGGGTTAGTGTTTTCCAGACAAGTAATTCAAACTTCAGTTCATACTGGGGGCAAAAACAAGTGCTGCTTATTGATGAAATAAATTGTCCTGCTGTAAGGGCAGTTGAGAATAATATGTCACTTGTAAGTGCTTCTGGCCTTCCTCTGTGCTGCTTGCATTTGCAACCTGATAAACTGACCAGTTTCCTTTCCATTAAGAAATACAGCTGCAGGTTCACTGTAGAGCTGTGAATGGTTTTAGAGCTTTATCCCTTTCTGTGCTTTTTATGCTTCCCCCCTCCAACCTTATAGACGTGGCACATGAAACTCAACAAATCCAGTGCTAATCATAGACTTGGGAATCTGAAGCTGTCATCTTATCTGATTGCTGCCATGTAATTGTTCTACCCAAATTTCACACAGTAGAACAGAGGCTGATAAGGAGAGAAAACATAGCAGAGCTTCTGTTGAAAAGGTTTTGACATTACGCAGTCTTACAGCAAATTCTCATAACTGGATGCTTGCACCCACTTTAACTACCCAAAAGAATTGGAGATGAAGCATACTCCATGTCGGGAGAGGTCACTGAGGACCAGTGTTTGTTGTTCTGCTAGTTCATGCTGAACTCCAGACAGAACAATCATATAAAATAAGTATGGGAGTTGTGTATTTTCTTTAAGGTAACTGAGGAGAAACTGGAAACAGCCTGAAATCCAGCATTAACTTGTTAGGTACTTTGGTCAGTGTTGAGGAAGTGCTTTTTGGTGGTCCTGCTGTTAAACTGTCTTCCCTGGATCTAGGTGCTACTGGTTACTGTTATCTGCCCAAAGTGCTCCCCTTTGGTTGAGGAAATCAAAGTAATACTTCTGGTTTGCTTTGTTTAACTACGGATAAACTGAATAGCTCATGGTCATGGGCCAAATTAGTTGAAGTCACATATTTGGTAAGGATTCTGCTCCACTTCATTGTCACTACACTGAATAACAGAACAGGCTTAGCAACAAATCATTTTTTAGATAGGAAACCTGTCGTTCATACAACTTACGTATTTATGAACAGGATGCAGTCAAATCAGTAAATACCATTTTTAATACAGATACTTTTCTCTTTAAACTTCAACTTAATGTGAAGTTCAAAGGATTAGGAAGTATAACAGTTCAGCTCATATATTCAACAGGGTTTTTTTCCTCCATTTTCACACAACCTGTAATGAGAATCAGATTTTTTTTTTTTTACCTTTATTCACTTTTACCAACTTTATGAGGAGTGGCCTTCAATTTAGCAGACTTACCAAGTTAAACCGCAGTGGTAGGTAACTGAAACATCGCTATTAGGTGTAAAGTTTGGCCTTTTTAGGCAGCAACTACAAAGTCACTCTCAGAATGCTTCTAAATAGGCTCAAAAAGCGTGGGGAAAGAGAGCAGTTACCGCAATTCTGAAAGTGCTTTGCAGTACAATGAGAACCAGTGAGTACCCTGAGAAGTGAGCTCCTGGGAAAGGAACAGCAAAACCATGTAAGTAAACCTGAAAGGAAGTACTGTAGAGAGACAAGTACAGCCTTGTGAAGATGTGTCCTAAAGCACAGAAGAACATATTTACATTTTTTATATATACTGCTCTTAGATATCTTTAGGTATTTCCAAAATTCAAAGCAGTCTTGCCTATAAGAACCACAGATATTTCAGGATGTATTCATAAACAGACTATCATTCTTGGTACAGCAATGCGAAATTTGTTTTTAATTACGTTTTTAATCTTTAGGTATCTAGAAGCAGCATAATGGAGTTGCCTCACTCAAAGCAGAAGGTAGTTTGTGTTTTTGCTTTCTGCCTTTAAATAATATCTCAAAATCTGCTGCTCAGGACATGACTGTTCACACCTCACTGCCTTTCTTTGGTCAGTTCAAATAAACTTTTAAAAAACATTTCTTCCATAAGCTATTCTTTAAAATTCAAGAAGCACTATTTTCAAAATAAACTTAGGGAAATACATAACCACAAAGGAGTAAGCTTCCTTTATATGCAGACTAAAATGGATGCACTTGCCCTTGGGCCTCGCTTAGAAGATGCAGGTATGTGATGTAAATGCATAAGTCTGTTTCTTTTCTCCTCATAAATAAGTCAAGAAGCTTTAAGAGTAACAACGGAGTCAAGATCTCCCAGTCTGCCTCATGTATGCAGAGCTCTACACGGTCTTAATTTAGAAAGCATATGGCTTGCACATCCTGCTTTGCTACTTGTGGTTCATAAGAAGGATGGGAAAGGCTTAGCAGGTTATCCACCTGGCTTTTTCATGTGGACTGAGGTTTCTAAGTAATGCTAATTGTCTTCTCTACTGCATCAAGTTAGCTTCTGCTCTCTAGAGATACAATTTTCCCATGCAGCAAGTGCTGTAAAGGAATACTCTGATGCTCCAAATTTACCGCAAGAATTGAGTTAGAAGGTAGAGCTTACAGGATTCAGATTTATATAGAATTTGAGGGTGGGGGGTTACAGCAAGCCCTGCTCCTGGATCTTCAAGATGAAAGGCGTGGGGTATCTAAGTAGGGAAGGAAAACCTGCCACAAAAGAAACCCTTAGAGAACACTAAAAATCTCTGTTAAAAACTCATGCAGAACTTTTAATAAGGAGCTAGAAATGAACATAGCTCAGTATTCTGCAGATATGCAGCTGTGAGAACACTGGTAATGTAAGATCTGGAAACTGTGTAGATGTCATGTTGCATAGTGACATAGTGAGCCTGGGCACAAGGCATAGCTTCATATGTGGCTTCATTTTAGTCACTTGGATTGTTTTGTTTTGTTTAAAAAAAAAAAACCACCACAACCTGATCTTACTGTTACATCTACACCTGTTTCCATGCAGAATATTTCTTGCTATCCTTGATACCACTTTGCACAAAAATTGGATTTTTTAACATTTTCTCAAACTCATAAGCAGCTAAATAATGTTATGCCTGAAGTCATGCTGAACAATATCTTCCTTATACCTTCCTTCTATTTTTGCACGTGTGAAGGGATGCATAATGGTGTGCACAATCAAATAACTTTGGTATAAATCAATCTTACTCGTTCTTGAACAGTTCCCTTTTTGAAGAGTTTCTAATGCAGCTGTTCTTTGGAAGGACAGAAATAGTCAAAACGTAGTGTTGCAGAGGACAAACTGCAGGAGAATTCTTTCAGTCTCCTTCATATGTATGAGAAACAAACAAATGCTGCTTCATTTGGTCATTGCAGAAGTCTCTTCTCTTTATTCTAAATGTACGTAACTTACAAAAGTGCTGCTGTTAAAGATTTCTTTCAGTGTAAGTTACTGATGGTAACTTTATTCTCGATGCGCTGAACTTAGTTGTGTACAGATATTCCTGAGTCTTTAAACAGAGCCTAAACTGGCAAAGCAAATTCCAAGCTTTTTTGAAGAGAGAGATAATCTGAATTAAGCAGAAATAAATAGGGAAAGCAAATGTAATGGAATGTCTGTGCAGTACTCATGTATTCAAAGTCTTCTAAGCACAGATGCAGGCAAATGCCTCAAACTTCTCCTACTTAATATCTACATTAATATAATCATGAAGAAACTGGATCAAGGGAAAACTCATTTTGACAGCAAATTTTTAAAAATGCATGTTGTATTATGACTAGCAATTGTTCAAATTAAACAAATTCAGGTAGCTCTGAACCTTGCTGCATTAGCGTTACATGCTACAATTTAAATCTTGTAATTCTTCTCCATTACTCGTAGAAATACTTCCCTAAATAGCCTGAAACAGCAGAGCAATTGCCAAAACAAGTCACAATGAATTCCTTTTAACCACATAAGATGCATAAAGATTTTTTTTTTTTTTTCTGATAGGTTACATACCAAATAGAGGTAATTCTAAAAATCTTACAGGGTTTGCTGTTGTTTTTTTCTTACTAAATGACATTATTTTTTTTTCCAGATTACTAAATATATTCTGCACGTATGTATCTTTTGTCTGCACTTGCTCTTTCAGACACCAAAGGTGAATTGATTTCCCTGTCTGCACACTTCTGGATCAGGTGCTGCATGAGAACTTTGTATTTTCCATCTTAGTGGTTGTAGCTTGTGCAACAAGGACAATTGCTGTCCTACAGAAACCTAAGGATGTTTGAAGTGTTTCTCATGCTCCAATTAGAATTGCAGAGATGATGATTATTTCACAGCCTGCTGAATATCCTTCTCATAGGGTATTTACTTAAGCATGCACTTGGGCTGAACTAAATCCACTTGCTACAACTGACAAAAAAAAAGTAATGATACCCTTGTACATTACTCAAGATGAACTGCATCTCCAGAAAAGGTGCAGCACCAAATTTGGTCTGAAAATATACTGCATGTGCAGCAAACTGCAATGCACCATAACATACATGCACAAAAATAGTGTTTGGAATTCCATCTACATAACTAACTCTGTTGGTTTTGGGTTTTTTTCCTTTTTCCTGAAAGTAGACTGCAGATGAAATGAAGCCATACATACTATACACATATGTTCAAGGCTAGCCAGATGACAATCCATACCAGTAGTGATTGGCAGCTCATGGCACAGTCTGGAAGCTGCACAGTGCAGCAGTTGCACTCATTTCCTTTGCTTACTGTTGGTTAGATTTTGTGGACCATAAGCTAGCTAACCATTCCGTGTTCTTACTAGACTTGGATCTTGGAATTTTGTCTGAGAGCAATTTTAAGGTAAAACTGGGAGCATAGTCCCATAGTACCTAAATGGCCTGAATTTCAGTGGTGCTGAGTACACGCAACTCCTGCTCTGGTAAACGGAGTCACACTGACTTATGTCAGCAATGCATTTTTGCAGTATCTCAGCAAATGACAGCCATAGCTTGGCTTCCCTGTTTCTAGTGTACATAATGCCCTGACTGTGAAATATGTGGAGGAGGGGATGGAAAAATCCTATTGTTCTGTGTGTGTTTAAGAAGCCGTCCAGTTGTTTATGCTGAAGCTAACGAGATGTGA